CTCCCCCTTCGTCAAAGCTTCCTTTGAGTCCTGAAACATAAGAAGCAAAACAATACAAAGCATCCAAGTTTGATTCATAATTATTGCTCAATAGATGAGCATTAGAAGTTTATTTAGATAGATGTGCAGCAATGCTCTCCCACAGCTGGTCATTTCACAGGAATTATTCAGCTCGTACGTTCCCATCTTCCCCCTAAGATGATCAGGATTCAGGAGAACTCCCCCTTTATTGGAGAATCAAAGCCTGTTACTAACGGGAGAGTGACTAAATATGACCAGTTTCAGTAATTCGAGTGACTAAATGTGACATGTTTCAATAATTCGAGTGACCGGTGTTGGAGAGAGGCTACAAGAGAGTGCAAACTCTTCTTCGATTTATTATAGGTTTAGAAATGAGGATCTCAAGGTCACTCTCCTCTCTCTCTCCTCAACTCTTAGTTATGTCTAGGAGCTTGAATGGTTCAATCTGATGCATGATTGATAACTACGGAGAACCTTTGTGCTTGTTTGGTTCAACACTAGGACTAATTAACATATGGTTGTGGTATTTCTATTTGGGTTAATACCCTAGTTTGGCCCGAAGTTTAGCGTAAGTGACAGTTCTGGCCCCATTTTTCAAATAAGACATTTATGGCCTACTTTTGAAACTATTGGACAGATTTGGCCCGAAAGTTGTGTTGACTGTTAATATTAACGGTCAAACATTTATTCCGTCAATGACTCATCACCGTGTCAATCACGGTGTCAGCCTGGAGGTTCTTTCCCACCTCGGACTTGTGGTACTCAGCCAGATCCAGATTGAGGCGCTCCGCTTCAGCACGCGACGCCCTCGGATCCTTGGACTTTTTCAGCCTCTTGAGCTCTTCAGAGATCTTGTGCGCCTTGTTTCGGAGCCCATCCGCCTCTTCCTGGAGCCTGTCGCGCTCCACAACCAGCTCAGCCTGCCTCTCACGCAAGCCCCGCTCCACCTCCGCCATCTCCGCTTGGGTGACAGCGGCTTGCGCCTCATAGTGCTCTTGGCACGTTTTCTCTACGGCCACCTTTATTTTCTCCCGCTCTGCCTCCAGACCGGTAAATAACTTGGCAGCCCAAGCCTCGGCCTCTTTCTGCGCCTCATCCCGAGCGTTGGCTAGAGACTCATGCGCCTCGTGGCTAGAGACCAAGTCGTCACGCAGGCGCTCAGCAGTGGTGGCGGACGCGGCGCTTTCTTTGACCATCTGATCGAATTCACGTGCGGTGGACTCGATCAACATCATCATCTATCATATACACCACATAACAAGGGGTAAGCCCGACTCGCGAATAATCGAGAAAAACAATCAACTAAAGTACAAGAGATAGGGCGCCTTACTTGCATTGAGAGATTGGTCATAGTGCGTAGAGGCCGTTTGGTATTGAGATGGTCGGGGCGCTCGATCACAGCAACATGGGATAACACCATCTGCATCAAAGCGCCCGGATCATTCGTCGCCTTAACAGGCACGCCAACGGAGACCTTCTCCAGTGGCCGAGCAGGAGATTGGAAGTAGGGGGCAGCGTTTTCCCGGTGTGCTCCCCCACGGTTGCTGGGCGGTACGCCTGAGGCCACCAAGTTATCCAACTTGGCTTTCTTAGCGGCAGAAAGGAGCGGCTCAGCGTGCCTCTTCCTGTGCGCCTTGGTTTGGGAGGGCTCATTCGGCGTCTGGACGTGGCGCCCTGGCTTCGGGAAGATGGGGAGGCACCCTGGTTAGCATCGGGGCGGATGGGAGAATGGTATGAAGGCTGGGGTGGTTCGGAGGCGGCAGGTGAAGGTGCCTGCTCGGAAGGCGCACGGCTCGACGGCACAGCTGGCGAGGAGACAATTCTTACCCGCGTGGGCGCCTTGCGCGGAGGTTGGGACTTGGCCTTGGTGGTCTTGGCGCGGACGCGAGGCGCAGGAGGGAACAAGTTGAGCTTCGACTGAATAAGATCGGAGACGGAAGTGAACTCGGTCCCTGCAAGAAAAAATGATAGAGTCAGCAACAAGGCACACAAGGCGTATGAGCGAATGTAAAGCGTATGACAAGTCAGGCGTATGCAACTACCGTCATTGTAAACTCCGCCAAAAGACGCGAGTACTCCTTGCTTATTTCAAGATTAATCGGCGTCGAAGCAAGGCGTCATGCCATATCTTCCTCAACCTTATTGAGAGCGGGGTGCTTATTAAACTCAGTTTCATCCCCAAAAGCCACTATGTTAGGGGCGCAGCGTCGCTCTCAAAGAAGGGCGCGTTGCGCGGGCGGACGAATAAAAAAGATTCGAACCACGAGCGCCCCATCTTTTTTCAGTGGCTGATGAAGTTGTACCCCTATTTGGGGCGCCTTTGAAGGCTGAAGCGGGCTTCGGATCATCACAAAGAAATGATGAAAAAATTTGAAATAGGAAAGAATGTTATGTTGGCGACACTTGAGGCGGAAGAGGACAGTGTAAAGAATAATGACAGGGGAAAGGCGCCCGAGGGAACATTGGCATAGATGGAGTACGCCTTCAAGGATGGGGTCGATGGGGAAACGGAGCCCAAAGCGGGCGTACTCTTGGTAAACGTCAATCCAACCCTCTCCACACACCCCGACGGGCGCGACAGGTGATGGATGCGCATAACGCCAGTCAGCTGGCATCTGCGCGGCCCGGATTAATTTTGTGAAGCGCGAGTAGAGAATCTTGGACGTGTGCGGAGGACCGGCATTTTCCTCCGACATTCGGTCAATATCGGTGGGCATGTACCCAGGCGGCCACATGTTGCCCCATTGTCGTATCACGTACTCTCGAGGCGCACCGGTGCCTAAGTCAGAAGAAGAGGACAAGATCAAGAAAGGGCTAGTGCAAAGGGGGAATCTTTTGAGAAGGGAGCTCAAGCAAGAGGTGTGAGCGGTCAGAAAAGGTAGAATTTAGGACTGGCTTTTCTCTCAACCCTCGCGACACGTGACTTGCATACATAAGGCGCATGAGATCAAGATTTTTTGCATAACGAGAAGTAGAGAATGAGGGAGTACCTGAGGCGGCGGCAGGGGCATCGGAAGGCGCTGGGTTGGAAGCTCCGGACTGATTGGAGGAAGACATTTTTTAGGCGTATAGGCAGTAGGAGGAGAAAACACACAAAAGCGGCAAGCGCCTGGTCACAGTTAGCGAGAGGCTTGAGAGCAGGCAACTTAGAGAGATAAAGTAGAGAGATAGTGGTTTTTGACAGAATGAAGAGAGGGGAAGTAGTGGGGGGCAATGTATAGGCGAGGAAAGAGGGGGAGAGAGAGCGGAAGCGGGAAGGCGAACGATCGCCTAGTCTGAAGGAAATTCGAATTTCGAAATTCGAATTATCCTTCGGACTAGGAGGAGGGGAGAATGGTCCCGATAGTGGAGGCGGAAGCCCAACGGTCTGTCTGCAATAAAGAAAAGGGAAATAAAAAAACAAGAAGAGAGAAAAAAAGGGAAAGGAAAGTAAATAATTGAGGAAAAGAAACGAGAGGAAGATAAACACAAAGGGGAAGGTGTGGCGCTTGATTAGCATGAGGGAAGGGAGTCAAAGCGCGGGTGGAGGAAATCAGGGGGCAGGCGCACGCTGCGGGAATGGACTGTTAGCGAGGCGCATGCTTCCGAAGGAAAGAATGGAAAGAAGGCGTGCATAATGAACCGCGGAGGCGCTTAGTGGGACACTTAGGAAAGTTAGGCCCCTATTGGGTGGTAGGCGCCTAACTGGGGGGCAATTGTTGGGGGGCATATAAGGGCTCAAGAAAGAAGCCCAGAAGGCCGGATTGGACCTGGAATGCGGGCCCAACGAAGGGAAAGCCCAACCCAAAAGGGGCCTTAGGCTATAACCTAGGCGGTGGTGTCGGGCCTGGCGTATGGCGACAAAAGTGGCAACGGTCAGAAGCGTACGGAGGGGACAGGAAGTGGGGCCATGCGCCTTGTGGCCCTGGGCAAAGTGTCAGAGTGTCGGGGCGCCTGGCAAGGGTGAGATACAGTGCATTTAATGGTGTGATGACGTGGAGCGGATTTGGGGGGCAGTGGTCGACCCCTATCCTGGGTATAAATAGTGAAGTTGGTGGAGAGGGTGAAGAGGGGGCGTTGTCTTCTGAGGCGCAGGGTTACTCGACACAAACAAGTATAAACTAATCAAACTCTATCATTTACTTTGTATTTGTGTTTCATACCCAATTCTAATTACGATAGGATTAAGAAATACCCATGAGCTTGGCAAAATAGTCATCCTTAACTCCTTCGTCCTAGCTTCCAATATCATTACAAGGATGCACATATTATTTGCAACCGAGACGCATGTAAGTTCGTCTTAAGGATGACATTTTCAACATGACCCGTTTTACCCTATTTGTTTGACTGATAAATTATGGTGTGGGGGCATGAGTATTATTTTTGACATGGCATGTCCTAACCCAATCCATTTTTGCCTAAATAACGTGTAATTATACTCAAAATACGATGATTTTACGTTCATATCTCATATTTTAGCTATAATAAAATTGTAAATAGGTGAGAACCTCAAATTCTCGAATAATTTAATTACATGTAACATATTATAGTTTGTTTCTTGTTTTTTTTTATGAAAAAATAAATATTTATAATATTTTCCTTTAAATTACATACACATATGGGTCAACCTACTCCAACCCATATCCCGCATGATAGATTAACTGACCTAAACCTGACCTACCACACGACGAATATGGGTATCGAGATAAGTGACTTGCCGATCACCATTCCTACTTGGCCTAACATATTAGTGGGCTACAAACATCGACAACATAAAAGCAATGGAATCAATCAAACTCAACTCAATGGTTTGTTTGCAGTTGTATATACATAATATATGCTCACAGCTAGCTCACTGGTCCAAGAAAGAAGTGTTGGTTTGAAGATATATAGAATCCAATTCCTAAAGCAGCCCACCCCACCTTTACTTCCTATATGGCTATATCACATACCCAAAATCCACCCTTCAGTTTCCTCCTTTGAACCATCAATCGGCGTAAGGAAAGAGAACCAAAACACTGGCTTCCATATCAGCACCGCCGATCCCTCTACTAACCCTTCTCCTCATAATCTTCTTCCTCCTCTACCTCTCCTCTTACTCCAACTACAAGCACCACATGAACCAGACGTTCATCAGCTTCAAGCTCGTCCTTCTGTTCGTTCCCGTGGCTATGATCTTCGCTGCTCAGCTTCTCCCCAAGTTCGAGAGGTTTGTTTTCCCACGCACCAAGGCGGAGTACTACGGCAGCTCGTCGTCGGCGGTGAAGAGGCGGCAGCTTGACCTGCCGTGGGGGATGGTGGCGGTGGTGGTGTTCCTTCTGCTCATGGTTTCTTTCCAGTCGTCTCTTCAGTCCATGTGGTCGCCGGTTGTGCGACGGTCCAGTTGAGTTGAGAGAGATTGGGATGACGTTGTACTGGTGGGTTTCTTTTTTCTGTTGTTGTTGTTGTACGGTTTTGGCGGCGCTGGGAATTTGGGACTGTTTACTATGAATAAAACAGTTGCAAAATCTCCCCTATGCTTATGAGTTTTGATTTTTGAAAATAAAATGAAGTGTGGTTTATGGAAATCTGCTGCGCATCTAATAGCCAATGACTAAGTTGTGCCAATTCGGACAACAACAAGAGCAATTCTCATATTCACAAGATACTTCTGTTACATATTGTAACAGAGTCACTAAAATTGGTTAGGAATTTCACTACAATGTGCAAGCTACAACCTAACGCTTCACTAAACTCTATACATGTATACTACTAACCGGTTGGTTACAGATCCGTAGTCGCTCAACGATGTTTAAGCCAAGCCAACTCTCCCAAAACCCTTCGAAATAGAGTTCCCTTCCACGACACTAAGCAGGAGTTGAGGAGTTCTTCAGCTTAGGGACTCTGAAGGAAGAAGTGAACAGATTCGGTGGCGATTCCACGATGATAACAGCATCATCATCATCTCCCTTTCTCTTCGAGCTTCTGCTACCCTGACCAAATGCAAACCAGAAGGGATTTAGCCCAAGTTCAATAAAACTAACTTCATGAAACATATAGAATCATTGGCTCTTTAGCATGCATATATATACCTTCCCATTTGGCCTCACATTCTCAGCATTTGACTCTTTCTTTACAGTTTTAACAGCCATGCCCTTACAGCTTCTCAACGCAGGAGTAGCAACTTGAGACTTCTTAAGACCTTCCAACTCTTGCGATAACTCGTGCACTCGAGCTTCCAGCTTCTCGATGGCCTCATCCTTCTCGGTGTTGGAAGATTGGAGCTGTTCTCTCAGCTCCGCGATGGTCCCATCCTTCTCACCATTGGAAGATTGGAGCTGCTCAGCCGTGGTGACAACTTGGACCAACTTATCATTAGCTTGATCGACTTCAGCTTGCTTCACCTTCAGCTTTTCGGTCAGCTTGCTTTCCAACATGTTGAATTGGTTCCATATGAAGGTTTTCTCCTTCGAGAGCATGGCGATCACAACATTCTTGTCAGAAACAAGCTTCTCGTACTTGAGCTTGAGCCTTTCAGATTCAGGGTCTGCTGCTGCTATCTTAGAGGTGGAAGATCTTGTTCGCCTACGTGATTCAGTGCCTTGATCTGGCTCGTCGGTCTCCTGCACGAAACATCATCCATCCATTTCTAAGATATCAAGCAACGAGACATGCTGAAGAATGCGAGGCAATACGCAATAGGCAACCTACTACTCACTTTCGAGCCAGCTGTGACTTGTGAGGAGGTCAAACAACATATTACTCACTTTCTAAGAGATCAAACAACATCAATTTGTAAGAGGTCAAACAACGAGAAATGCTGCAGAATGTGAGGCAATACGCAATAGACAACCTACTACTCACTTTCGAGCTAGCAGTGAGGAGGTCAAACAACGCCCTGAAATCTGCCAATTCATCTTCTGTTTCCTCTGCAACAATAAATGAAATGGAGGTAAGGCTGTTAGGATTGTGCCAAAACTAGACCACAATCTGTCAGAAAGTTCAATCATGCCACTTTCATTAGCTAAGAAATCACAGACTATAGTGCTGCAATTAAGGGAAAACTGTACATTTTCCCTCTCTACACCCTAACTTGATTTACTCTGACCATTAACCAACTGGACAATTACCAAGCATCAATCTAGCCAGGACGGTAAATGTACAATTTTGAAAATTTTCATATCCGTACGAAATCCCCCACAAGAAGCTTGAAAAGAAACGATAGGAGGCCAAGACTGACCTAATTTTCACTTAATCCTCAAACCCTAATTCAAAATTTTGAATTCAATATCCCCCAAACATTATGAAGAAGAAACTTTCCTGATTTCCATGCACCAAGTCACATAACCATCAACGAATAGCAAGCAAAAGAAGGGAAGCGATAACTGACCTAACTTCAGTTTACGGACCACAGCTTCTCTGTGCTTCAATCCCACCATCAACTCAGTTTTGGCAGCCTCCATTAATAGCTCCATCTCTTTCGCTTCCAGGCGTGACATGAGCTACTCCGAAATAAAAACATAAACAGTCCCCGATTAGTCAACAAGTCGGATGAGCGGAAACCCTAAAAATTGGAATCGAATTAGGGGAAAACAGAGGAAAGAAAGCCTATTGAACAAACTTCGGAGATATGAGTTTCATAGAGTCGGTGATTGGCAGTCCGTGCTTCCTGATGCTTCTTTATCCATTCTTCAAGAGATTTCCTCTGGCTGAGCAGAGTTTCGATCTGCTCTTGTTGATTCTTTAGCAATTTCACCAGCGGCGCATAAAACACTTTCCATTTCGCTACCTCCGATCTGGACTCGGGACGCTTGGCGCCGCCCATTTGAGAGCTCTAACGATCTGGCTCGCCGACAAGTAGAAGAAAGATTGGAATTTGTTTGGTGTTTTGAGATAATTGCTTGATTGTTCGGTTGCAGAGATTTAACAATTGTGGGGGGACGAGACGAAAGAGGATCTCATCGGTCGGAAATAAGAAGCGCGGGGATCCTTTGTTTTCTAGATTTCAAATACCTTTGGGCTGGGCTTTATGTTGATAGAAGGTTGGGCCAAGTCATATATACTAGACCAAAAACATGTTCTAGTCCAGTGCGAATTTAATTTCGTTATTTCTTAATGATACTTATAATAATTCATAGGACCAAATTACGAATTAAAATATATACAATCCAATATTCAATCGTGGATCATAGATTATTTACTAACATAAATATCAATTCGATACGATACGATATGAACAAGATTGTTGCTCACCCTCGTTGTGCACCATCCCATCCACACATGCAGATCACCATTAAGTTGTTATTTTCTTTAGAGCCTGGTCGATATTCTTCATATTACACGGATCATCAAGGTGTTCCAATCGTAGCTGATTTACAAAAAGACTTGTGATGGTCAAGCAAATTCGATTTCTCTATTTCATAACACATAGTCAGGTGTGTAAAATAGAATTTATATTACAAAAACGAAATCATATAGTACAACTAGTATAAGCTCGTTTGTTACCGCTTGGTATGCTAGCTAGAAGATAATATTTTAAAGAGTAGTAGTGAAAGTGTAGTTTATTGTGTTGGGATGACAGTGATTAGTTTAATTGAATGAGGATGTGAAATTGTTATGAATATTGCAAATATTTTCTAGAGTGCAATAGATTGTTGAAATACCGGAAAGACGGAATTAACAATGCAAAAAATTCAGTATTGGTCGTGGGAAACACTACAGGAGGACAACTAATGATTCCGTGCACAGTGTTTCGAGTTGGGCTTTGAATTGGTGGGTGAATGCGAGGATTGGATAGAGCATATATTGTGTGGATCTTCAATAGCGGTCGTGGCAAATAGTGGAGGGGGATAACATAGGATTTCACCGACAATGCTTCAAAATGGGTTGCGAATTGGTGGGTGAATCAACACACAATAGATGAAAACTCTATGGATAATAGCTGTCACAGAGAAACCACTGAACAATAGCTAATAACCTAGAGGATAATAACTCCATGTTTCGAGATGAGTTGTGAATTGGTGGGCGAATGCTAGGATTGGACATAACAGATCTTGTATGGATCTTCAGTAGTGCTCATGGCAAACAATGGAGGGAGGTAATATAGAATTCCTCCGACAATGCTTTAAAATGGGTTGCGAATTGGTGGGTGAATCCGCAAGCAATAGATGAAAAGTCAATGGATAATACATGTCACGGAGAAACCATTAAACAATAGCTGAAACCTAGTGAACAATAAGTGCGATGAAAAACCCAGAGAACAATAAATATAGATTCAACAAATAATAGTTGACTACTTAGGTTTTGAATGAGAAAGTGGAGTAAAAGAATGTCCTCCAAAAATTTTGAGTTTAGGAGAAGGATGTGAGTGAAGGAAGCAAATCATATAAAGGTTGCTCACTTCTATTTAAAGGAGGTTGAGGGCTATTAATGAATAGTAACTTAAATGTTAGACTTTTAATTAATTAATTAATAAATAAATAATATGTGATGATATAGACAAGGTAAATCTCAAAGTTCAAATACAAAATTGAATGTGACAAAGACAATGTGGTCATCCTTCTTCGCTCATATAACTGATAAGGAATAATTGAATAAACAAAGGGCTTTTATTTACGAGTACAAATAGGGAAAAAATCCCACTGTACACATGTTTTTAAAAAAAATTCTCAGAATACACATGTTATGAAAAAAATTCCCAATCTACGCATGTTTGGGCCTTCACCGCGTCTGTCTAAGGCGGTGATTGCTTCACAGCGTTAAAGAAGAGCGGTGAGTGCATCACCGCGTTAGAGAAACACGGTGATTGCATCACCGCTGTAGAGGAAGGCGGTGATTGCATCACCGTGTTAGAGGAAAACGGTGAATGCCTGACCTGCGTCAAATCTTTAAAAAAATGTAATTTTGTGCTCGGTTATCCGATCGTGATGAAATTTTTTTTGATTCCTCAAAAAGTTATGCAAAATCAAAAAAAAAATTCATGATTTTCGGATTGTGGAGCACAAAGTTATGATCGTTCAAAGTTTGACGAAATCGAAAAAAGGCTCGTTCGGGGTAGCAAACGACGTTTTTTCGGGACGAAGGGGGGGCCAAACCGCCTTCGGAAGTTTGCGGCTTGCAAGATCTCGAAAAATTATGCGGAATCAAAAAAAATTTCACTACGATCGGATAACCGAGCACAAAATTACGTTTTTTTAAAGATTCGCCGCAGGTCAGGCCTTCACCGCGGCCGTTGAATGCGGTGAAGCAATCACCGTGTTTGTCTAACGCGGTGATGCACTCACCGCTCTTCTTCAACGCGGTGAAGCAATCACCGCGTTAGTCTGACGCGGTGAAGGCCCAAACATGCGTAGATTGGGAATTTTTTTCATAACATGTGTATTTTGAGAATTTTTTTTAAAAACATGTGTACAGTGGGATATTTTCCTACAAATAGAGCACTCCTAAGTTAGTTGGGATGTTACTAATCCTCACATTATCATTATATCAATATTCTGAATTGGTTGGAGATAATTTTTATCGATATTGAATTGAATTAGGAATGAGAATGTAGCAAGTCCAAATTGGGTATTTTGATACTTATATCCGTTCCGTGATAGGTTGAATAATTTATCACGTGGCGCAGATTATGATAGGTAATTTAAAAAGAAAAAATTAAGAATTTTTCATGCATTTTTCATTAAAAACCCAAGCAACAAACTATAAACATAACAATTGTAATTAAATTATTCTAGAAATGGAGGTTCTTGCCTATTTTCTTTCTAGCTAAAATACGAGATGATAAAAGTAAAATCATAGTAATTTGAGTAAAATTACATGTAAAGTCATGTCAGGTTGAGTAGAATACTCATATCTCACCCCGTCTACGAGACGTGGATCATCCATCTCAAATCTCAATAAGGTCAAACAGATCAAATAAAACTCATGTGGTCAAAATTATCATGACTAAATTGAATTCAACATATTCTATTTAGGCGGAATTTAAATATAACTTAAAATAAAGTATCATTGTTAACTAACCATAATTTACACGAAATTTATTTTTTATCATGAGTGACGTAGAATAGATCAAGTGTTGAACTAATCGCTACGCTATTCGTCCAAAAGTTCAACGAAAATTTGGTAAAAAACCAAAGCCCAGTAGCCGATTCGTTACCGACGGCAAAGTTCAATGACCAGTTTGAGTAATTGACCCTATGTTTCCCGGCCCAGGCTCTCGAACGCTGGAAAATCATATGTTAATCCGACGGCGGCACTTTTTGGTTCTTTTAGACCTTCTGTGGACAGTGATAAGCCAACTTCATTTTCTCCATCTGCATCGTTCAAAAAGGCCTCGGATTCTGATTAGAATAACCAAACGACAACGTAGTGGGCGGACCTTTCCAGGCTCCTCTCTTCTTCCAGCCTGAATTCCAATTTCACTACTTGGTACTTGGTCCCTCTCCTTGTTTCCAAAATTTCGCCGCTGAAAAAAATAAACAACAAACATCGAGATCCCAATATATAAAAAGAAATGCCTCTCACCAACCAGGCATGAATCTCGACTCTCAAAGCTCTCAACTTTCTCCATCACGGGTTGGCCTTTCTTTTTCTCCTCCCATCCCAACCTTTCAATCTTTGATTTCACTCCTTACCCAATTTCCATCTCGCGCTAATCTCTAATGGGTTCTTGTCAACAGGTGAAAAAGACGACGACTTTGCTTATTAGATGTCTCCGGTGGCCGATCCGCCCTCGACCCAGAACGGGAGCTACTCCGCCGCCGCCAGCGTGATCAAATGCGTGGAGGCCGTGACGGCGGCGATGGAATCGTCCAACGCCGACGACGACTCCGATGACATCCTGAAGCTGCTGGACACGACTAGGCCGATCAAGGTCGAGAGGCCGAGGTCGTTCGGCGAGCGGTCGTTCAATGAGCTGTCGGCGGCACTTTCACCTCGGCACTACAGAAACTACGAGAACTCTTCCAGAGTTGACCACCTCGACCATGTTTATTCTCCCGGGAGATGGTCGGGTTTCAATTCTCCGAGGTCGATGTCGACTCACTTCGAATCGAATCCGATCGTGGCCGAAGCCTGGGAATCGCTGCGGCGAACTCTGGTTTACTACCGCGGCGAGCCTGTCGGGACCATCGCTGCTTTGGACCACTCCAACGAGCAGGTCAATTACGATCAGGTTAGTCAAGAATCTACTCGTCTTAACAACTCAAAGTTGTTGCTAATTATGGTCAGACAAGTCTAGAATCGTTGTTTTGCTTGTTCACTGCATACTTCGGCTGTGAATCATGACTCCAAAACCACTATTAGATGCTATTGCCCTGTATAGAATTGGGTAGAATGGCTGATTTTTGTGGGGAATCGTCGTTCGCCTGGCAGGTGTTTGTGAGGGACTTTGTGCCGAGTGGGTTGGCGTTTTTGATGAATGGGGAGTACGAGATAGTGAAGAACTTTCTACTGAAGACGCTGCACCTTCAATCGTGGGAGAAGACGGTGGATCATTTCAAGCTAGGAGAAGGGGTGATGCCGGCGAGCTTCAAGGTGATCCACAAGCCGGAGAGGAACGTCGAGACGCTGATCGCCGACTTCGGCGAGACAGCGATCGGTAGAGTGGCGCCTGTCGATTCCGGGTTCTGGTGGATCATTCTGCTTCGCGCCTATACCAAATCTACAGGGGATTCGTCGCTTGCCGAAATGCCGGCTTGCCAGAGAGGAATAAAGCTCATCCTTAGCCTCTGTCTCTCCGAAGGGTTCGACACATTCCCAACTCTTCTTTGTGCGGATGGCTGCTCCATGATCGACCGTCGAATGGTAAGGGCTTAACAATTTTGTACCTTCCTTTTTTTTCCCCCCTCTCTTAGGCATTTCGTCGAACAGTTCGGCTACAATTGAGCTTGAGTAATGTTTTTTTTACCATCAGGGCGTCTATGGCTACCCAATTGAGATACAAGCGCTGTTCTTCATGGCACTCCGATGCGC